ACTAATTATTTAAATACCCATAATTAGATATTATTTAATTAAATATTCAAGTCAATCGATTGTGTTTCTTTGTCTCGTCGAGTTGAGCCTTGAAATACTTTGCTCGTCTCGTCGAGCTCGAGCAGATGTCAGATAAGTCGAGCATATTCAAGACAAATGAACAAGAACGACTTATGCACACAACACAAAACACGATTAAATGTATTTTTAGGGCATTCGACTCGTGTGTGTATGTATCCAAATAGAGGAAGAACATATATCGAGAGATACGTACTTGGCTCATTTTGGGGCGTCTCCTTGCAGAATGCCTAATACAGGCGGCAGCAGAAAGCACGGCACGCAACATCTCCTGGTGATCATAGTTGTTCCCAAGCCGTGGATCCACCAACTCATCAAAGCTTCCTCCTTCGGTTGCTCGAACCAGAATTGGCCTTGCCTACATCATATTATACATAAAAAAAAAAATATATGTTATCATATAAAATAAATTACAAATAATCTTGATATGTATGTACATTATATACCCAATCAACTAATCCATCGTCATCGCTGTTGATGTCGACCGGGCGTCGCCCGGCAATGAGCTCGAGAAGCATTATACCGTATGAGTAGACATCGGACTTCTCGGTAAGTTTGCCACTCGATGCATATTCGGGAGCCAAGTACCTATCGAAAAATAAAAACACGTACGCGTCGATTTTTATAACAATAATCCTAATTAAACTTCGTTCGTTCATTACACACATCACGCAACACGCAAGCGAACGTATGAGAAGATTAAGGAAAGGACATACATATTCCAAGGTATGTTAATTTGCAAGTGTAATAAAGTTGAAAGTTAAATGTTATCGTACCCGAAAGTTCCCATTATCCGAGTTGAAACATGAGTGAAGTTGTCCGAAGAAAGTTTTGCCAATCCAAAGTCGGCCACCTGCATTTGGCATTGCAATTTATGGATTAAGAAAATAAGGAGACAATCGAAACAAGGTCATGTTCGCTATAAAACATGCAACAAAAACAGAGGAATTAGTACCTTGGCTTCGAAGTTTAGATCAAGCAAAATGTTTGCAGCTTTTATATCACGGTGGATAATACGAGGATGGCCTAAACCGAACGTACAAATGGAAGTTATAAGTAGAACAATTATATCGACACAAAAGAAGAAAGAAAAAGAAATAATCAACGATCAAGGAAACTCACAATCTTCGTGAAGGTATGCAAATCCCTTAGCCGATCCCAAAGCGATTTTAAGCCGGGTCGGCCAATCCATTGTCGGGCAACCAGATCCTGTACTTACGTTAAAGATATACACAATGAAGCTTATATTTTATAGTCATCCAAATTTTTACAAAGACAATTTGCATGTGAAAGTGAATAACTATGTAAATCGGGCTTTCAGACGGGATGGCAGATGATCAAAGCACGTTTCTTCAATAGTTCAATTTCTTATGCTATATATTTTATCTTTGCATCTATATATCATTTGACTATAAATGATTACTATATGTAAAATAGAACCAAGAAATACGTACCGTGAAGGTGATATTCGAGTGTCTTATTCGGCACATATTCGTAAACCAACATCCTCTGGGTCCCGGCTATACAATACCCAACCAACGACACCAAATGCCGGTGGTGGACACGGCTGATGATATCAACCTCCGCTTGAAACTCGCGCTCCCCTTGGCCACTGTTGGCCTTGAGGCTCTTGACGGCAATCTCTTTCCCGTTGGGCAACACCCCCTTGTGGACGTACCCGAACCCGCCCTGCCCGAGAAGGTTCGACTGGGCAAAACCGGCGGTGGCGGCCGACAGGTCGTCGTACGTGAAGCTGCTCTGGTTGAAGCCAAGGGCCATGGCCGGGTGGGGAGGTGGGAGGGCCGCCCCATTGGGGCCAGAAAATCCGGCGGAGCTCAGCTCGCTGCTGCTCATCATGGGCGGCGGAGGGGGCGGCGGCGCGATCTGCCAGCTGTGCTCGGAGCTGACGCCAGCACTACCCGGGGGCGGCGGCGGGGGCTTTCCCATGCGGTCCGTGGGCGGGCCGTTGTTCTGCCAGTTGGGTCGACCGTCGTTTTGCCAGTTTGAGGAGGTGTAGTAATTGTTGCCTGCAACGCCTAGAAATTTTAAGTTAAAAATCGCTCCTATATATAATTCCCGAATGCGCTGAGCCTACGTGGTTGTTTCTGGTGCTTCGGAATCCTACTTGGCGAAGAATCATGCTTCGTAATTAGGTTCGGACAAATAAT